TGGCTTGAAACCACATCTGGTGCATGTTAAAGTTTTGTGACCATCAACTACAGTAGCCTAGAAAACTCAATTCGCGAAAGGTAGGCCACAATAGGAGATGCACCTAGAAAACACAACATGTGACCATTTCTGGACCATCAGCTTCAGTGGCCTAGAAAAATTAATAAAGTTAAAGTCCAAAAAATGTTATATCAACTTTCAGTCGCCAACGACGTTTGTATCCTTATTGTCTCCACCCATGGTCTTATATCTGCCACGTGTCTTCTATTATTCTACGACTGCTACCGTAACCATTTAGTGTCTTTACTGTGTTATAGAGTCTTCACAAAAGTCGGTCCAATAAGTGACAAAATTAGTAGGGCAAGTATAAATCACAATGTCACTATTATTCTTTGAATGAAAATGTGTTTTATACTGGATTACGCATTCTGTGTAGTCGTCACACCGCTAATTATGTCTGTTGAGAAAACATAGGCAGACAGTAGCTTATTTACATATTTCAGCTTTTACCCATTTCTTCTTTTTTCATTCGTTTACAAAAAAAATACGAAAAAAAAATCATGGTCGTATTGTCAGTGGGTTTTTGGATTTGTACTGGTATCGGAATTTTTTCGGCTCTGTTCTCTATTGGAGTGTGTTGGTTTATCATGAATAAGCATACGTTGTAAGCAGTGCATCTTTTCGAAAAAAAATGTCTCGAGAAATGCCCTTTTCGGGAAATTTTCGAGGAAATTTTCGAGGAAATTTTCGAGGAAATTTCGAGGAAATTTCGACAAAAATTTCTCGAAAAAATGTTCGAAAAAAATTTCTCGAAAAAATGTTCGAAAAAAATTTCTCGAGAAATGTGCTAAACAATGTGCGGTGCAGAATTTCGGAGTGTCGTTTGCGACTTTTTTTCAGTTTTTTATCGTTGCTGACATTGTTGTCTCGTTTATTTTTTCATTTTAAAGTGGCGGCCTAACTTTTGCAAATTTGGTTTTCTAGGCCACCACTAAAAAATGGCCTAGAAATCATACCAGAGTCAGGTCAGGGCATTTTTAAGCCATTTTGAAATGGTGGCCTAGAAATCCAAATTTGCAAAAATTAGGCCACCACTTCAAAATGGCCTAGAAATCATACCAGGGTCATGTTAGGGCATTTTTAAGCCATTTTGAAATGGTGGCCTANAAAACCAAAATTGCAGAAGTTAGTCCACCACTTCAAAATTGCCTAGAAATCATATCAAGGTCATGTTAGGGCATTTTTAGGTCATTTTGAAGTGGTGGACTAACTTCTGCAATTTTGGTTTTCTAGGCCACCACTAAAAAATGGCCTAGAAATCATACCAGAGTCAGGTCAGGGCATTTTTAAGCCATTTTGAAATGGTGGCCTAGAAATCCAAATTTGCAAAAATTAGGCCACCACTTCAAAATGGCCTAGAAAACACACCAGGTTCATGTCAGACCATTTCTAGGCCATTTCTCGAGGAATTTCGTGAGGAATTTTTCGAGAATTTTTTTTGCAAGGCTGCCGGCCGCCCGCGGCTTCAAAAAAAATCGGAAAAGTCGCGGCCGCTGCCGGCCGTCATCTTGCACACCTTTTTTCAGAAAACAGAAAACATGGAAAAAGTTGGAATACCAGATGATTTTGCTCCGTGTCTTTTTCGATGCACTCACTAGCATAACTAGTGGCATCTACTTCTTATCCAGCATGTTTACGTTATCTTATTCTGAAGTGATCCCATTCGATGTATCCTTTATGATTGGTCTCATTTCATCAAGCCTTATAGAAATGCGAAGCTATCTCGCGGTTGTTATAGCAATCGAGAGATCATGTGCAACAATATTCCCTATTCATTTTTTTTGTTATAGAAAAAAATTATCTAATATTCTAATAGTTGGATTTATCATCTCTACCGGTGTTGCACTTTGTGTGGTTATGTTCTGGTATTGCGAGCTGCAACTTCCGCTGAAAGAGGGTTGCACCAATTTCAATTGCGCAGCTCCGAAATGTTATCAGGATTATCATGTCGTATCCAAAACTATTTATTCCTTTTTAAATGCGTTGTTCTCTGGAATACTGTGTATTAAGTTAGTATGCTTGTCATGTGCGCACAGTAATATCCAAAAGGATATTCGAAGAACCAACCTACTTTCTCTGACTGATGGATTATCGACACTGACATTTGAACTGTTACCAGCGATGCTTTTTACCAAAGGGATCGTGGATTTTAATGTATCCTTCTAGGACTTTACTTTAAAAATTCATTTTCTTTTCTTTTTCCAGAGTATTGGTCCAGTGTTCGGTGTTTTAAGACAAATCGGACGAGGTGTGGAGGCAACAGTGATGGCCAAATTGATGTAATGCACGTACGTATACCTAGACACCCCTTAATTAGGAACACCCTTGTGGTTAGTCTGAACGAAATAAATAAACTTTGGTTATGTCCACGAATTTCTGAATTTTCACAGTGTTTGGAATAGTTTCAGCAGTTTACGCAACATTAGTATATGAGACTCCTATGCGTTACTCCTGTGCAAGATATCAAAGATGTGTCAACAGACAAAACGTTGTTGATATTTCGATAAACAATTTATCAGTTGACAACTTTTTTGTATCTTTGACAGGGACCGAGATAAATTGGCACAAAGTTAGGACGCCCATCTATTACAGGTTTACCAGTGTCCGACAGTGGAATTTTATAGCATCACCAGCCTTCTGTTTGCCGCGCCTCCGGCGCTTCACAATTCAAGCATTTTCAATTATTCGTCGCTCCACTTCTCACTTTTCAATTTTTCTGTCTCACGCTGTAGAACATCTATGCCCTCCCTCCCCTCTCCTGGTGTGGGCCTCATGGCGCAGCTGTGTGCGTGCGCGGCTATTGTGCGGAAGGCCGCGGGTTAGGTTTTGGTGGCGGCCAACCTTTCATTTAAAAACCAAAAACCTGACAGCAGGACACTAGGACCAACAGACGCGTCTAGCGTTTTATATATAAGAAAGCTAGTGAATGTATTTTCTAATTTTCCGTAGATCAAAAATGACGCACTTCTAAAACGCCTAGACATCATCATTTAGAATATTTTTCCCCCTGTGATTTGAGGAGAACCGGAAAAACAAAAACTAAAATTTAACTTTCCACTCTCACACCTAAATTTGTCTATTATGGTATTTCTATCAGCCGAGTTCTGGGTCCTAACAATATGTGGATTACTGTCGACGAGTTATACGGCGATAGTATGCTTTCATCTTCTTTATAAGCATTCTTTGTAAGTTTACATTCCTTATTACTCTTCAGATGAATTAATTTAGAGAACAAAAGATATGGAAAAAGCTGGATTATCAAATGATTATATTCCGCATAGTTTTGGATGGCTTAACCGGCGCTACCGGTGAGTGTGACCCTCAACTTCGAGCCAATTTATCTCGGCTCCTATTAGAGTTATCAAATATGTGTTACCTGACAAAATGATAATCATAGTATCAAAAATACTTTGTCAGTTGACAATTTTTGATATTTTTCACAGAAAGCAAGATATATTTGCTCAAAGTTGGAAGTTTAGCGGGGGAACTTGTAACAAAAAAGCCACCAGCCCGTCCACTTTGAGCCAATATATCTCGGTTTTTGTAAAATATATCAAAAAGTGGCTTACTAACTATATGTTTATCATAGTATCACCAATATTTTATCAGTTGACCACTTTTTGGTATCTTTTACAGAAACCGTGATAAATTAGCTCAAAGTTCGGATACACTCTATCTCGTTTTTTTTTCAGCTATGCCTTACTTCGTTGTCAGCATTTTTACTTTATACTCTGAAGTAATATCCTTTGATGTTACTTTTCTGGTTGGCCTCGTTTCCATTATAATTATAGAAATGAGAAATTATCTAGCAGTTATAATTGCAATAGAGCGAGTTTTGGCCACCACTTGCCCTATTAAATTTTGGCGATATCGAAAACACTTTATAGCGAATATCTCTATATTTTGTTTTGTTATCTTGACAGGCCTTGCAGTTCCATTTATGATGTTTTGGATTTGCGACTTAAAATTTCCTATACCAGTTGGTTGCACCAGTTTTAGTTGTGCTTCTCCGAAATGTTATCAGGTAAAATGGCAGTAGGGTCCTCTAACTTTGAGCCCTTATATCTCATTTTCCATGAAAGATATCAAAAAGCAGTCAACTAATAAATTGTTATCATATTATGATCTGTATTTTATCAGTTGACCTATTTTTGATGGCTCGCATAGGAATTGAGGTAACTGAGCTCGACTATGGCATGGTTCTCTTTTCTGGATTATCGCGCAGCATCCGCAATGACATTTTCCTCGTCCAACGCGACGTTCTCCGGTATACTATGTCTAAAACTGTCTTGCTTATCAATAAAGCACACCAATCTGTCCAATGATCTTCGTAGAGCAAACCTGCTATCGCTGACTGATGGGTTCTCGTCGATCGTTTTTGAATTTATACCGGCTTTGCTTTTTAAATGGAAGATTGTTGAATTGAATGTGAGTGGGGTATTTAAGGGATTTGTTAATTGGAGAGGTACTATTTTTGGCTCTTTCCGAGAAGAACGGTCCCAAAGCGGGACCGTCGGTCCCATCATAGGACCGCCGGTTCCAGAGAATTGCGACAACGGTCCCATCGTTTCGACAACGGTCCTATTGTTCCGATCCCAATTATATGTAAAATTTTAAAATTTCCACTGGTCTTTTGAAAGACCATTCCGTTTTTCTGCATTCCGGGAATAGGGTTTCCAGAATAAGCCTGAATGGGACCGTTGTCGTACCCGTGGGACCGTTGTCGGAACGTTGGGACCGTTCTCGAAACATTGGGACCGATATCGGAACAATGGGACCGTTGTCGCAATTCCTGGGGCCGGTAGTCCGATGATGGGACAGGCGGTCCCGTTTTGGAACCGTTCTTCCCGGAAAGAGCCCAATGTTCCAGGGTATTGGCCCAGTTCTGTGTGTACTACGTCAAATAGGAAGTGTAGTAGAGATGACAGTGATGGCGAAGTTGATGGAGTGAGGTAGCCAGGAGTCGAACTTGTGAGCCCACCGTTGGATGTGCCGCACGGATACCAGCTATCATTAAGCTACGGGGCGCAAGCTCCTCCACCGACTGTGCACGCATCGATCACTGTACACCGTCACGTCAGAATGAAAAGAAAACCATAAATAAAATGTTATAATTTATTTTATTTTCAATTCTAACAAAAAAGTACAAGTTATTTTTAGTGCCATGTCCCGGCGCCTCCGGAGTTAGCCGCCGAGTGAACTGTAGAGACTTTGGGCACAAAAACTGACGATGTTTGTGGTTTCGGTCTCACATTGTCCCAATTGCTTGAAATGAAGATTATAGCGTTGCAACAACCTGAATCACATATCTTGAACATGTACAGTTCAATCGATTTTATGCCATTTAGACCATTTCCAGAAGCCTGGAGCTCGTCTGTCAAGTTTCCGATCACTTTGAAATTTTTTGAGGGTGAAAGACTTAGGTTGAAAACTTTGCATTCAGAGAAATTTTGAAAATTCCTAATTTTTCCTGTTTTTGTACTGAAAACCTGAGAAAAATGCAAAGTTTGCAATCTAGGTATGTTTCACAACCTCCGAAGTTTTTAAAGTAATCAGACACTTGACAGCCGACCTCCAGGCTTATGAAAACGGTCAAAATCGACAGATAAACAGGTTTTTGTACATCTTGTTGACCGATACTATTCTCACTCACCGCTTACTAACAAACACGCCGAGTAAAATGGTCCGACGAGTTTGAAAATCGAGAATCCAGTCAATTCTACGATTCCCACGAGAACACTGGGAACTGTGATGAAGAGAAGAGAAGATATCAAGATTCCAGTAGACGTCCGGTTTGCCTTGGCGTATTTATTGGGTCCCTGTTGAGAGACCACTGAATCCTTCCCTCCTCTTGACACCATCCGAAGTTTCCAGTAGATGGTGATGGATAGTATGACAGCCATGATACCAAGAATCTAAAAAACGTTGTTACGTTTAGGGGTCAGGAGGTTCTAATAGCTCAAAAAACGGGCCAGAAAATTCTTCTAATGGCTCAAAAATAGGTCAGACGGTTCTAATAGCTCAAAACATGGGTTGAGAAGTTCTAATAGCTTGAAAAACGAGTCAAAAACTATTAATAGCTCAAAAAACGAGCCAGGGGATTCTAGTAGCTCAAAATATGGGTCGGGAAGTTTTCATAGCTCGAAAAAGAAGTTAGCAGGTTAATAGCTCACAATTTCTAATTAGGGTTTCCATTTGGGGGGCGATTCACCCGCCCGCACCCGCCCGGGGGGCTCACCCCCCGCGGAAACTTTTTTTCTTGGAAAATACGTGATTGTCATTAAAAATTAGATAAAAATTCACACGCAAATAATCGCGGGGGGCCGCGGGGGCCGTGGGTGGTAGCCCCCCCCCCCCCTCCTCTCGGCGGGTGGCG